GCATCCAGCCCATGGAGGCGTTCTCTGGCTTCTACAGAATGCCCTGCTGTAAAAACTGCAACTTCTGGCCCGAGGTCCTCTGCATGAAAGGTGCACATCATCCAGTTTAAGAGGCCGCCATCCGTCCAGCGCATCTACAGAGAGCTCCTTTTTTTGCAAAAGTTGAAAATTCCGCGCGGCAGTGAGCTGCCCCCCCTCCCTCCCTCCTCCTAGAGCCCCCTCCCCAGCAGAGCTAAAGCTCAGACTGCAGCGTAGCTCCAGCTGGGACTCCTTGAAATCACACGCCGGATCGGCGAATTGAACTACGAATATTGCACCACATAGGATGTTCCACATAGATTTGATACCATCGAGCGCTCCACCTACATTGCACCGCATACATTGCACAACATCGGTTGCACAACATAGACTCCACCACATAGATTGCTCCACATGGGTTGTACAACATATATCGGCTAGAAACACACGGTTTGGGTCCGCGTTGTTTTACAATGTTACCGCAAGTCTCATTATTAGTTTGGGATGTCGTCTCGTTGCATTCGATGCATATCTGCATCACAAGGATGATGTGTGATATGTCTGTACGCCAATTGGGCAGAGCGGCAGCCAGGTTTCCATGCTGTTACCACATCTGATTGTTTGATCGCGAAAAGAAGAGCAGCGTTGAGTGTCCTTGGTATCAGCTCTTTGGAAGGTTTTTCGCGCCCGTCTCCATGCGTGACCTGAGGGACGCACAGAAAACCTGTACTGAAGACACGCAGGAATCATGTATGTTGTTGTATGTTGCGCGCGCGTGTGTGTGTGTGTGTGTGACCGTGCCCCCCGAGTTGGAGAAGGCCCCACGCGTTTTGGACGCGTGCTACGGCCTCATTGAAGAACGTACCGAATTTCCAGACACGCACAAACACAGACGCGTTCGCGCACAGACCCGCTTGGTCTACTATACGAGGGAGTGGTGTCATTATTGTCGGGATGGTTTCATGGCCGTTCGGCAGGAGCGGTGGCGGACAGGGAGGAAGATTCATGATTATAGTTGGACGTCAGTTCTGAGTAGAAACATGTCCCCCACTTGTCTTGTTACCTAACAGCCGCAGTAGTTGTCGCACTTATGCTGGTGATTGGGGAACTGTATGTGCTGACGCGGCCAAAGCTTCACGAATGTAAACATCGTCATGCGTATTAGTTGCCACCCGCGTTTGCCACAGGCCGTTGCCATTAGCAATGACGGCCACTCGCCTGCACAGGCCGTTGCCATTAGCAATGACGGCCACTCGCCTGTTCAAGTGTGGCATTGCACGTGCGGCAACAATCGCTTCGGTCGCTTCGTGAGTGATCCTACAATGTCGCAAACAGGCGCCACATCGGCGCATGAGAGACGCAGCCATCGCAGCCGCGCGGCGAAATTCGACTAGGGAGGCTATTGACAGGCCGACGCTTAGTCGTGCGAGTGAAACGCTCAGTTCAGGGACTTGGTCCAGTTGTTTATGCTCGGCCAACCGAACTCGGCGGTTGACAAGACAATGTTTGTTCCTAGAGCCTGCTCCTCATACAGTATAGGGCTTAGACACGTAGACGTTCCCAACGTTCATGCGCACAGGTTATCGAAGTGGCTACACAAGCATATTCGAAACGGAGCGTTCGCAGGAGCCCCATGCGGAGCGGCGATGTTCATATTAAGCCCCACCCCCGCTTCCATTGTTAGATGTCGATCGTACGTATGCGGTCTGAGATTGGTTTTCCGGACACGGCACACTTGCGAGGTCTTCCGGTGTTCGAAGGTTGGTTGACGGAGCCACATACAATGTATCCGGGGTTGGCAATGTCAGTTTCAAATTTGATCCGTAGGTTCCCCAAGTAGAATTGGATTGTGGGCTCCACCTATATTATGAAGAGCGTGCCGGCGCTGATACTGGACTTCAAGGCGCCTGCCCGTAAGGCGACATATAAGCAGCATTTCGTTTCCAACGTATTGGTCGCGTTCATCTTCAACTCGCAGCTTTGCAGAGGCTCGGTACATCGGTGGGATTGCTTGCGACCTGCTAGGTGCAGTTGTCACAGAAGACGCGGGACACCAGAACTCCCGCAGCTGTTTTTTCAAGGCGATTGGCAATCTAGCCAGAGCACCTGACAACCGCACTTCGCGGCTGGGCTGGAGAGTTGTTCTATGAAGGCGGCGCGAGGGCGCAAATTCGACCGCGCGAGATGAAGCACGAAGTTTGGTGATCCAAATCACAAAGTGCAACCCCTCTCTGCCATTGAGTCGTTGTTCCTTGGGGGATACTGTCCCTTACCCCCTCCCCCTTGCACCCTTCCGAAACCCCCGCAACGGTCACGATCGCACAGGGGGAGGCGACCCCTTCTCCTTAGGCTCGCAGGCACGTGGTGGCGCCCGCAAGCCGTTTCGGCGGCCCCTCGCTTTTTTGCACGACGTGGTGCTCGCGCGCCATCCTGATGCTCGCAGGCATCTTGCGGCGACGCTGTCCTCCAGACCTTCGTCAGCCCTCGTTCGTGGTGTGGCGTCGTGGCGGCTGCAGCACGGCGCGGCACCGCTGCGCCCGTGGTCCTCGCAGGCTGCTGCGGGCCCGTGCCTGTCGCACGGACGGGAGCAGAGATTCGCGGCCTGGGCGCCCCCGCGAGAGAGGCTGGCGGATGTGTGGATGCCTTGTTCTGCGCGCCTGGCAATCCAGCAGCAGGAGGACAGGGAGCACAGACAAGGAAGACGAGGAAGGAGGAGGGACGAGAACGACGACGACGACGACGACGACGACGACGACGACGACGACGGCGGCGGAACAGACAAGGAAAACCAGGAAGGAGGAGGGACGAGAACGACGACGACGACGACCTCCAGAGGCGTCTGGAGGTCCTCCCGAGGGCCGAGCTCTTTGGGGGGCCCAGGAGCCTCCAGAAGTTCAAGTAAGGTCACAAGCGTCCAAACATGACTCTTTCCCTCCCTTTCCCGCCCTGTAGACAGGCCAGTGTAGAGAGGCTTGGCACGGTATAGCGCACTGTTGTACCCGCGTGCAGCGCTGTTGCTCGCGGGCACGTGTGTCATTCACAGATTAGGCTGATATTGGTCCACCATACTGGTTTGCATATTGTTGGCCATGGGGGAAACGGGTCCTGAGGGAAACGGGTCCTGAGGTTGTGCACCGTTTTCGGGCTCTCGAGGCCTTCTACGGGCCCCGGGACTGTCAGAAAACGATTCATGATGAAGAATTGGTCCTGTGGGAATGCCCCCGGGTCCAGGACCCGTTTCCCTGAGGACCCGCTTCCCCCATGCCAAATTGCGGAAATATTGAAGTGCTTTTTGGGATTTCCGAGGGCTTCCGGAGAAATTACTGGAGGCCCCCGGATCCTCGGTGTCGTTCGTCGTCGTTGTGGCCGTGGTCCTCGTCGATGACGCATCCACACTTACGGGGCGCCGTTGCCCCAAACTCGCAGCACCCCACCCGTTGCCGTTACGCCCCCTCGTTCCACTTCGCCCCCCCCCACAGGGTAACCGAAGCTGCCCCCCCAGGAATAGAAGAACATTCTCGGCTTGGCATCGCTCGGACGTGTACATCTTTCCTTCGGCGAGGACCATCGAGGAGCATCCTTGATCACTTGGCGAAAAAGCCACGCACGAAACCGAAAAAAGCACAGGGAATGGACGTCCGAGCGATGGCCACTCGCTGGGGCATTGGATCGCCAGGAGCGTTGGGCGGGGGGCGGCCCATGACCTCCGGAGCGCTGCGCTCGCGGGCGAGCGGCACGGCGGACCGCCAGAGCTCGTGCCCTGGGGCAGGAGGCCACCTCGAGCGTGCAGCCCGACGAGCGCCCGGCGCCTGGCGCGATCCGCACACGATGTTTCCCGGCGGTCCCTGAGCTTAAGTCGGGCCTGTCCCTCTACGGGGGGGATATTCAAAAATAGTGAAACAATAGTCTGGGGACGAGTTTTTGTATTTTTTGACAATTTTTGAATTCATTGGGAATTTTTAAGAAAAAATTCACCGGAAATCCCCCTGTAGGGGGACAGGCCCGACTTAACCCTGAGTTTCGACTGCGGCACGCTCGCTGGCGCGCGGCCCGTCGGCGCTTCCGGTGGTGGCCCCCTGCCGCGAGCTGCCGCGTGTTCTTGCGCTGGTATCTCTTCGTGGGCGCGCGGCACGGCGGAGCTCCGCGGGACGCCGCGCCAAATTGGTACCCACAGCGTCTGCCGCCTCTGAATGTTGGCACGGGACGCCGCAGCAGACCTAAAGCACTACCAAGATCTCCCACCGTTGGCTCCAAGCGGATGTGGTGTTGGAATGTTGGGTAGTTCAGCTGGCGGCACATGCGCAGATGTGAGCTCAAAACCCGTGCGCTGCGACTCCCACTTCGCCATGCTGCACCATGCTGTGAGTATACGACTCTCTGTTCCCACTGCTGTATCACGGAGTGCCCGCACTATCATACGATTGCACATACGCAGTATCGATGCGCAGCCCCTTAAACTGGTAGAGCATTTTTAGATTGCTCTAAGAGCGCACTAATGTAGCACAACAGTACTACACAATGATACGGTTCCTCTGTTGCACCCCGCACGCCACGAATGTCTACAGCGCCACGACACTACTACTCTGTTGCTTTGCTACCCTACGACTCAACGGAATTCAACTACATGAATCTACTGACATATCACTGAACTACTGACTGGTCGACTCCTTTTTCTGTTACTCGACTGGTTTACATGCAAGACCCCCTTGTGCAGTCCACTATGGACTGCTATTGGACAAGGTCGAACGCTACTACTCCTCCATGACACTTCTCGATGACCCCGCTTCCTGGTGACTCAGCCTACACTGGCAATCCCATCTGGAACCAGCATGCGGCACGAGGGCGAAAATGATCCCGCGGGATGGGTATTGCAGATTGGTTTCTGGGGATCAAGTAACAACCCAATGGGCCAGCCATTTGGGAGCGAAGCGTCCAGTGACAAATCCGATATGTCTTCTCCCTCCTCCTGGCCCTCGCACTAGCTGCTCGGAGCCCTGACGCGCGGTGCACTCTCATGGCCGTGGTTGTCGTGCCCCTCGGCCTGGCGGACGCCTTCATCGGGGCGCTCCCGGTCAGCTCCTCGCTGCTGCTGCGAGGCGCTTCCAGAGGAGAGCCTTGGCGCGGCGGGCAGTGACAGAAAACGGCCCTCTGTCGCACAGGTGGGCACGGCGCCGTGACCGCCGCCACGGCACCGGCCTCGCTTGCCACGCTGGGCCCTCTTCTTCCCAGGCCCAGGCCCACTTCGTCCTTGGCCGCCTCGGCCCCGATCCGCTTCGTCCCGGTCCCGCTTGGTCGTCCTTCCGATCGGATCTCTCGGCCTCCTGGCCGCTTCGGCTGTCCCGGTTCGTCCTGGCCCGCTTCGTCCTTGCACGCTTTGGCCACGCGTGTCGTCTCAGCCCAGCTTGTCCGTCCCGCTTCGGCCGTCCCGCTTCGTCTGGCCCCGCTTCGGACCGACCCGACCCGGGGGCCAGCCCGTCGTCTACTCGTAAGGCGGGGGAGGAACAATGTCGAGCAGGACCACAGTGCCGGCGAGGGTCAGGAAAAAGAGCAAGGACAGGGTTAGCAGGAGGAGGCATGGCGACGAGGACGGAAAGAGGAGGAGGAGGAGGAGGAGGTAGAGGAGATTGGACGAGCGAGGAGGAGCACGGTGCGAGGAGGAAGGAGGAGGAGGAGGAGGAGGAGGAGGAGGAGGGGGATCGAGAAGGTGATGTTGTGGTCGTGCTGGCATAGGGGGTTGTCGCGGTAACTATGGTGGCGCCGGTTCTGTCCGTAATGGTCGGGGTCGTCGTCGACGACGGCGTCGAAGTCGACGTCCGCCAGTCCGCCCACCCGCCTCGGTGATCGCCCGCCTGGCCGCCCCTTCGGGGGTCCGTACGTTGGGGTCCGCCCGCCCGCCCGTGAAGATTCGCACACCCGCCCACCTGTCAGAGCCTGCCCGCCCTGAAGTTCGGGCCCGCCCGCGCCACCCACCGCAGTGGCCGCCCGCCAGCCCGTTGGGGTCCGCCCGCCCGCCCGGTTTACGAAGCCCTTCCATATTGGCCCGCGGGAACCACCTCAGGGCCATCTGGGAGGCAGTGGCGCAGTCTCCAGGACTGCCCTACGATTTCCTCAGGCCGACCGGCGGCCTCCCGAGGTCTCGGCGAACCCCGTGGGCGGGGTACGTTGTCGGCCGTACCTCGGGCCCCTGCGGCGAGGGGAACCGACGGTTGGGCAGCGCTGCGATGCTGGCTTCCTGTCTGGCCGTGGCGATGCGGTCTGGGAGCGCTGCTCCTTGAGGGCGAGCATGATGTCTTCTGGAGGCTGTCTGGGCCAGTTGAGCGTCAATGCTGCTTCTGGCGGGACGTTGTCTCGTCCCCGTTCTGGACCGCGAGAGGCGGGAGGAGGGCGGCGCGACGCTCCTGGGAGTTGAGACTTCGCAGAGCTCCTGGGGCTCGCTCCGTGAGGGAGCGGAGGGGAATCCAGGAGAAGGGCACGGCTAGCACCTCGCACAGCTTTCGGGGTTCATTCTGTAAAGGAGCTGAAGAATTCGGGGCTCTTGGGGGAGGGAGGTTGGGGAGAAGGAACAGGAGGGGGGGGAGCAGGAGAGGGAAAAGGGGGAGGAGGAGGGGGAGGGGAAGGGGGAAGAGGAGGAGGAGGCCCTCCCCCAGCGTTGCACAGGCATCGCCACCCTGCCATGCAATGCAGATAAATAGAGATATTCCCCAATCAGAGCTTGCCCCTGTAGGGATCCTAGCGGATTTAAGGGTAGGTGAGGTGCGCCGCCGATTCGGTGGCCGGGCCCGGGTGCCCGGGTGCCCGGGTGCCTGGGTGCCCGGGTTCGCCGCCGATTCGGTGGCCGGGCCCGGGTGCCCCGGTGCCCGGGTGCCCGGGTTCGCCGCCGATTCGGTGGCCGGGCCCGGGTGCCCGGATGCCCGGGTGCTCGGGTGCCCCGGGTGACGGGTGCCCGGTGCCCGGGTGGGTGCCCGGGTGCCCGGGTGCCGGGTGCCCGGGTGCCCGGTGCCTTGTAGCCTTATATCCTTAGCGCCCTATAGCCCTATATCCCTATCGCCTTATAGCCCTATAGCCCTATAACCCATATAGCCATATAGCCCATATAGCGCCCATATAGCGCCTAAGAGCCCATATAGCCCTGTAGCCCTATAGCCCTACAGCCCTAAAAAGATTATGATTGGGTTTTTTCTTCTGGTTTCATAGATAGAGATAGATGGAGATAGAGACAGACATAGAAAACGAGACGGAGACAGAGGTAAAGATGGAGGTTCTAAGGATTAAGTAGAGATGCGTATATATATATATATATGTGTACATATACATACATAGATATAGAGAGAAAAAGAGAGAGACAGAGACAGGGATATATATATATATAGAGAGAGATAGAGATAGAGATAGAGATAGAGATAGAGATAGAGATAGAGAGATAGAGGAGGAGAGATAGAGGAGGAGGAGGAGGAGGAGGAGGAGGAGGAGGCGGCCCTCCCCCCTCCCGCCCTCGCTCAGGAGAGGCGGCGGTCGACTTCCTGCTGGTGGAGGATGCCCGCGGCGTCCAGTGGATGCGCGGCGGCGGGTGCCCCGTGATGGGGGTCATGGCTCTCCACGGGCGGCCCGCACGAGCTCGCCGCCGCTGGCTTCGCCGGGCCGCGGGCGCCCTGCCCCCCCCCCCACGAGGGGAGCGGGCCCAGGCACGGGGCGCTCCGGAGAGGGCCCCGCCCCCGAGGATCGGAGGGGGTGGCACCTCCTCCTCCTCCTCGGCGGAAGGCCCGCGGGGGCGAGGGCGGGGCGGTCCGCGAGGCAGGCGCCCTCGGGGCCCAGCTCCGCCATACCCACTGCGCAGCCTCCGAGGGCCACCACTCTCGGCAGGAGCAGCCGCATCGTGCGCCGCACGTCGGTCGATTCTCGCCCAGGCCCCTCGCGAAGCGTCCGTCCCGAAGGTGCACTGGGCGCAGCGCTGTGAAAAGAGGAAGGTCAGCGGAAGCCGGCGGAAGCAATATTGAGGTGGAGGCGGGCCCGCCCGCGGAAGGCCCGCGGAAGGCCGCCGGAAGCAAAAGTCACCCCGCCAAGGGATGACGCATTTCTGTTGTTCGGGGTTTCTAGCATCCGCCACATGCTCGCGTCATGAAAGAGTCACGGCGGGAGGTTTGGGGCCACCCTCGGCCCCTGGGGGCCCTCAGTGGGCCCCCCGGACCGTCCGCAGACGACTGGTGGGATGAACGGCGTGCCTTGGCGGAAGGGTCGGGACGTGTGGGGGGGGCCGCGGTGCAAAAAACAAGACACCACGTGTCTGCGCAGGGGCCCTCCCCTCCAGGTCGGGCAGGAGCCATGGCCGGGTGGGGCCCCCGCCCCAAAGTGCGGGGGGGGAGTCACAGGCAAGGGTCAGAGCGTGGAGGGGGTGGCGTCCCCTCCTCGGCGACGGCGCGCGGAAGGACTCGTGGGGGGCGCCTCCGCTGGCGGAAGGTCGGCGGAAGGCGGCAGAAGTCAAAGAGCCGCCCTCGCCTCGGGCGCCGAGCGCCGCTGGCATCGAGGACTTGCGTACTTGCGCGCCCACGTGTAGGCGCTCACCAAGCGCTTCCCACGACTCGCAAACGACCGAAAAAACATAGGATTGCGTCGATGAGATACATCGTAGATCCCCCGCGGCGGATCCAGGCCATTTGCGAGTAGTTACGTTGCGAGTAGTGGAACGCGCTCGTCTAGATGCGGCAGCGCTATGGCTGTTGTGACAGTGTTCTTTCCCTTGCCAGGGTCTGCCCCGTTGACTATGGTGGCCCCTTGCCATTCTTGATGCCTTGTAAAAACGCTGGTGGGTTGGGCTCTTGTCCGTTTTCCACCTTTCGCTTTTGACTCGCCGAAAACGTATTAAACACGGCGCCCCAGAAAGTTGGTGTCAGGCAGGCGGCGCTGTGATAGTTGAAACGCAATGGAAACGGAAATAGAAAGGGCAAGTGGGAAAGGGGCCAATCCGAGACCTGATGACGTAACAAAGACGGCGCCCAAAACTAGGCCAACAAAAAACGTCGATCGCCAGAACGGGAAACGAAAGACCTTCGGCGTCTTTGATAACATCAGCGATCAGGATCTGCGGCTTAGGGTGTCACTACGCGGATTCTGGCCCACCGCGCTTCGGTGCGACACGCTATCCACTTCCCAGCCCCCCAGCACCAACGTTCCAAGCGTTTCCCGACCTCCCGCCCCGCGGAGCGGAGCGACCCGCTATCCGCCCGCTTGGCACAGCGAGTCGCCAGGGCCGCTGCCGCGACACGCCAAGCAAAAGCTTCCGATTGTGAGCCTTGGCCCCCTCTCCTACAGCCCTCTCGCAGAAAATGGAGGGACGATTCGGTCCTGCCCGCCCCACCCCCAGCCCCAACTCAAAGTTGGCCCGAGGAATTGCGCTCGGCGGTCACCCCCTCCAGCATTGGAGAGGGGCAGGGGGCGCGGACCACGTGGCCTCAGTGCGGCCTCGCAGCGATCCGAAGCAGACCACATGGCCCCATGCTTGCTTCCATTAAACAGCAAAAAAAGAAACATATCCCATCAAGTCTTTCTCAGGAGGGTGGAGCGCAGAAGAGGGGCAGGGCTGCCGCGGGGGCTCGAGGAGGGGCCAGCCCGCCAGGGGGCGGGACCGCCACGGTCAGGGACACAGCCCAAAGCACGGCAGTCTCGCGCCCGCGGGACGCGCTGGCGCGGCCCTACCGCGGGCACATCGAGGTCGGAACGCCCAAAAATAGCATGTTCAGACGATTCCGTAAGTAGTGTGGCACGGATGAGTCGTTCGTGGGATACGAGAGGGGCGTTCGTACGAAGAGGTGGGTTGTTCTTACGACAGTTGTTCTTACGACAACGTGCGTCATTATTGTGATACGTTTGCGGCCCCACAAGGGAGGGTTGTTGGGCACCCTCTGAGAAAGTAATCGGCCCTGAGATCTTGGCATCTCCATGTTTTCGAGCCAGGCTTTTTCGATTAGTTTCGGGCCCCGGGACTCTCAGAGATCGATTGGGCTCGAAAAATGACGCAGGAAGACGGGGTCCAGGGCTCCGGTCGAGTTTCCATTACGATATTGCAATTCTTTGAGACGTCGGGTCTCAGGGATGATGGAGCGACCCGCGCGGCGAACAGAAACCAGAACGCGGTTCAAGAGGGCCCCGAGTCGTCGCAAGAGCGCTTCACGATGCCCAGGATGGCTTCAGGATGGCCCAGGAGGCCCCCAGGACACCCCAAGAGGGCTCCAAGAGGCCCCCTGTCAGAGGGCCCCACGGGTCCGAAAAAATCCTCGATTTTTCCCCGCGGCGTGTGGAGGGCTCCGGCCTTCTCGCTTTTTCGGGCCCTCGACGCGCCTGGACGGCCCAGGAGCTTAGCTCCTCGGATACGCACGTTTTGAAACGTAACACGTGCCGTGTTCAAAGCGTCCGTGTCCAAAGCGTACGTGTTCAGTCTGCGTGTTGAGCTCCAGATCAATACGCTACGTGTTGCGTGTTGCGTATCGGGGCAGCTAAGCCCAGGAGAGCTCCTGGGATCGCCCGCGACGCGAACCCGCTGCCGGCTCCAGCTCCTCCTCCTGTTCCTCCTCCTCCTCTTCCTCCTCCTCCTCCTCCTCCTCCTCCTCCTCCTCCTGCTCCTCCTCCTCCTCCTCCTCCTCCCCCTCCTCCTCCTCATGCCGATGGCTTCCGCAGCCCCTGGCGACGGTCGTTGTGCAGGACGCATGGGGCGCCGGTAAGGGCGCGCGCAAGGCGCACGCCCGACGAGCACTTGCACAATGCCCCCTGGGTTTAGGAAGCCGGGGCGAGACCGGCACAAGAGGTACTTTCCGTACTTCAACGACGACAGACTCCGGCGGCATGGCTGGAGGTCCTGCGCACCTCGAGGTCTCCGCCTCGAGGTGCGCAGGACCTACCGGGTCACTACCTCGAGGGCTCCATTTAGACGTCGTTCATTTCGAGATCTTCACCTCATTACATTCCGTCGAGGTCTTCACCTCGAGGTCTTCACTTCGAGGTTTCCACCTCGGGTTTTTCACCTACCTCGAGGCGTTTTCCTTGTGGCAACTGTGTTCCACTTGGGACAATCTGGTGAGGCGCGGCCCCATGTCTCCCCTAAGGCATCTAAGGCCCTCCCCGCGCGCCTGGGCGACAGCGGCGTGGGATCTAATGGCCCCACCTGCGGGCCAAGCACGGCTCTCCCCAGGGAGGTCGCGTTACGACCGATGTCCATTACCAAAGCGGTAAGCTCGGGCATGCACGTGCCCACATCCAGCTAGCTCCAGCTGGCACCCCACCTGTTTTTCTTTGGGGGGCCCGTTTCGGCGACCACGTGACGTCCCCAGTGCCGTTGCGAGCACGGCAGCCCTCGACATGGTCGGATTTCGCCAGTTTGACAGGTTCGGCAGGGCCCTCCTGAGGGAGGTCAGCACCAGCTGAATGTCGGCGCCGCCATTCTGGTCCCAAAGAGAACATCGGAGGTTTTGACCTCCAGGACACAGCCCGGCGGCAACGCCGGCGGCCCCACACGCGTTCCTTAAGAAGCACGCGCCTCCTGGATACGGCGCGGCGACAATGCCGGCGCTGTTCTTGTCAATCGACACGTCGGTTGGTTTGCTCTCTCGGACACAGCCTGGCGGCAATGCTGGCGGTCCTGCATATGTTCATTTCCTTGCGCGAGGCATGTGCCTCCAGGACATGGCCCAGTGATAATGCTGGCGGAGTTATCTTTCACGTCGGAGGTTTTGCCCTCCAGGACACAGCCCGGCGGCGACGCCGGCCGTCCTGCACTTACCCTTCCGAGGCGCGTGCTCCCAGGTCACAGACCAGCGATATTGCCGGCCATTGATTCACTCCGGCACGTCGGAAGTTCTGACCTCCAGGACACAGCCCGGCAGTAACGCCGGTAGTCCTAAATGCTTCTTTACGAGGCACGCGTCTCCAGGACACGGCCCGGCGCCGCGCGCCTCGCAGGCTGCTGTACGGCGCGCAGGCACGGTTGCATCAGGCTCACGCCACGGGCTGAAAAGGGGAGCCCCTAGACGCCAGGCCGTCATGGCGATGCCACCCTTTCGTGCTGCGCGGGTCTCACGGCCCGCGCTTGCACGCGCCGCGTCAGCCTTAACCTCCAAAGTTTCTCCTCTCTTCTCCTTCCTCCCCTCGACCTCGGAGGATTCGGAGGATGTACACACGTTTCGTGCGCCCAACGCGCAGGAACACGGAGAGAGCAGTGGAATGCTGGCGGGTTCACTGCGGCTGGCGGCTCCGTGACGCATTACACCCTGCGGGCAAAGGCACCAGAGAGGTGCCCAATGAAGATAGCCGCGCCCAGGAGCGAGGAGGACGAGGATGAGCTCCCCAACCTCATCCTCACTCCCTCCCCCCTCCTCAGTGCCGCTATGTGGTTCAACGCTGATACTTGGCAGGTGGCTCGTATCCTGGGCCACCTTTGGCAGGATGCACTCGGGGGAGCCCTCGGTGAAGCTTTCATTCGGTCCGACGTTCCCGTGGGTGCCCAGCCCCCGCCCGGGGGCTCTTGCGCACGCGTTCGACCGTCGAGTGGTATCTTCACTTCGAGTCAACTACCGCGATGGGTACCCAGAGATCGCGCAACATGGAGCTCGCATTGGTGGTCGGAACATCGACGCACCCATCGCGCGATCCCGCTTAGAAGGCAGTTTCGAGTTTGAGGTGTCCGCCTCGAGGTCTTCATTCGAGGGTTCTCCCTCTAGGTGCTTCAGGGCAAAACCGCCAATTGCCGAGGACTGTTTAGTTCCGGACAAAAACTTGCCGACAAAACCAGCGCCCCTGCATGCTGCTACTTTTCTGGGTTGGTCGCGAGGCAGCTGCCTCAACGACAGAGCTAGGCGGCAAAGCCAGTGGTCCTGCAATCGCTACCTTCTGGCATTAGGCTGGCGGGAAGACTGGGGCGCGTGCGTCCACTGGTTGCCCATTCATGCCATCGTCGCGAGGCAGCTGCCTCAAGGACAAGGCTTGGTGGCAAAGCCAGCGGTCCTGCAAGCTCTCACACTCTTGGGCTGATCGTTATCTTCTGGCTGTAGTCTTGCGGGGAAACTGGGATGCGTGCATCCACCACTTGCCCATTCATGCCATCGTCGCGAGGCAGCTGCCTCAAGGACAAAGCTTGGCCGCAAAGCCAGCGGTCCTGCAAGATCTCGCCCTCTTGGGTTGAAGGCTACTTGCTGGGTGCAGACTGGCGGGGAGACTGGGATGCGTGCATCCACCAGTTGCCCATTTATACCATCGTCGCGAGGCAGTTGCCTTAAGAGCAAAGCTAGGCGGCAAAGCCTGCGTTTCTTCAGGCTTCCATCTTCCCGCGCTGATCACTGCTTGTTGGCCGCATCCGGGCGGAAAGGCCTGGGTGCAAGCAAACGCAGGTGTGCAATGACGGGGTTTCGCGCATCCTCAGATCCTGCACGATTGCCCTCGTCGCGAGGCAGTTGCCTTCGGGACGCACCCGGCGTCAGGGCCGGTAGTCCTGCACATTTTCGCGCATCCCCTCATTTCCCTCTCCCCCCATCCCTCTTCCGCCGCTACCTGGCGGCAAGGCCGGTTTGAGTGAATCCTTAGAGTCGGCACTTTACCTCAGTCGCGAGGCAGTTGCCTCAAGGACGCAACCGGCGGCAAGGCTGGGAGTCTTGCACACCCATACGTGTCTTCTCATCCCCTCTCCTCCCTCCATCTTCCGCCACCCCCTGGCGGCAAGACCGGGCCACGTGCATCCTCAGATCCTGCACGCTGGCCCTTGTCGCGAGGCTGTTGCCTCAAGGACGCACCCGGCGGCAAGGCCGGCAGTCCTGCACACTCACGTGCCCCTCTCACTCCCCCACTCCCCCCCTTCCCATATTTTCCCCAGCGAGCTTGTGAAGTTGCACAGCTCCTGCCTGAAAATTTTGCCACTGCGCCGAGCTGGCGCCAGGTTCGACCGACATCTGACGCTCCCTGGCGGCAAGACCGGGTTGCGTGCATCGTCAGATTCTGCACGCACGCCGCTGTCACGAGGCATTCGCCTCAAGGACGCACCCGGCGGCAAGGCCGGTAGTCCTGCACACTTCTTCGACTCCGCCCATCCTTCCACTCCCCTTCCATCCTCCGCCACTCCCTGGCGGCACGCTGGCCCTTGTCGCGAGGCAAGTGCATCAAAGACGCGCCCGGCGGAAAGGCAGGTAAGCCTGCACACTCTTACGCGTTTCTTCATCCCCCCCTCCTGCTTCCCCCTTCTTCTTTCCGCCGCCCCCCGGCGGCAAGACCAGGATTCGTGCATCCTTAGATATTGCACAATTGCCCCCGTCGCGAGGCCGTTGCCTCAAGGACGCAACCGGCGACAGCTGGTAGTCCTGCACACACACATACGCCTCACCTCATTTCCCTTCACCCCTCCATCTTCCGCCAGTCCCGGGCGTCCCTGCCTTCTCCCTTCCTCTCTCTGTTTCCTCCTCTCTCGTCCCTTCCCACCACCCTGCTACACCTCCAGCTGCCGCTGTTCCCTGGCGGCAAATGCCCTGGGCCCTTCCTCGGGGACTTAGTCCGAGCCAGAACCCCGGGGCACGCGTCGAGCCTAATCCCAGGCACCTGTTCAGGGGGTTCGATCCGAGCAGGCACCCTAATGAAAGTCTGAGCTCAAGTTACACTCCACATGTTGTGTAACCGTGGCCCTCGCAGTAGAAGCAAAATTGGGCAGACTCGAGTCCAGTAATAGCTTTGTCGCCCCTGCTGCCCAGCACCTCGAGACCCTGCCGCGATTCTCAGTGTCTACGGCACGGCATCATCGGGGAACTTGATTTCATCTATCCTTCTGGACAGGCGCGAGATTGGCAGTTATTGACTCGCCTCTGTCGGCTCTCGCTACGGGCATTGCTCCATCCGCAGCTTGAGCCCCCCGCTCGAAGGAGGGGGGAACTTTGTTAACATCTCTGTCTCCCTCACGTCCCCAGGAATGGGCGTCTGAGCTGGCCAGGGCATGGCCTGAGCCCCCCGCCCGAGGGAGGGGGGCACTGACCGTTTTTAAATCTTTTAGAATAGGTCCATACCCGAGCAAATAATAACGGATGGGCCGGCACGCCCTTCCAAGCCGAGTGCGGCCTCCGGCACCATTTTGGTTCTAGCCATTGGTGCAGGATTTGCTCGGCCTTTTGCCCGCTCCCACCTTGGCAAAATCAGGGAGGCTAGGGGGAGCGCCGAGGTGGTCACCTCGGTAAGGGCAGACGGTTGCCTGTCGGAGGGGCCCTCGCGGCGGCGGGAGGTCTGCAGCCGCTGGGGGGCTCGTCGCATTCCCCAGGCCGATCCCCGACATCAGCAGCTACGCTGCGGAAAAGGAGTAACAGGGTTATGCCTACCCTTCAGGGCATCTGCACTACACTACAGTCCTCCTCCTCCGTCTCTTCCTCCTCCTCCTTCTCCTCCTCCTCCTCCTCCTCCTCATCATCCTCATCCTCATCTTCATCCTCATCCTCATCCTCATCCTCATCCTCCTGCTGCTCTTGTTGTCACCGGGGCGGGCTGCGGCGAGCCCCTGGGCCGCCCGGAGTGTCCTCCTGCACGGCCAGCTCCCCTTGGAGCAGCTCGCCGGCGAGGTGGCCCGTTGCGGGCGCTGGGGCGCCGCGGTGGAGCTGTGGCGCGAGTGGAGAGGAGCCTCCCTCCCTTCGCGGGCGGAGCAGGACGAGGACGAGGACGAGGACGAGGACGAGGACGAGGACGAGGACGAGGACGAGGAGGAGGAGGAGGAGGAGGACGAGGACGACGAGGACGAGAACGAGGACGAGGACGAGGAGGAGGAGGAGGAGGAGGGGGAGGAGGAGGAGGAGGAGGAGGAGGAGGAGGCGGAGGAGGAGGTAGAGGAGGAGGAGGAGGAGGAGGAGGAGGAGGAGGAGGAGGAGGAGGAGGAGGATGAGGAGGAGGAGGA